GAAGAAGAAGAAGAAGAAGAAGAAGAAGAAGAAGAAGAAGAAGAAGAAGAAGAAGAAGAAGAAGAAGAAGAAGAAGAAGAAGAAGAAGAAGAAGAAGAAGAAGAAGAAGAAGAAGAAGAAGAAGAAGAAGAAGAAGAAGAAGAAGAAGAAGAAGAAGAAGAAGAAGAAGAAGAAGAAGAAGAAGAAGTAGAAGAAGAAGTAGTAGTAGTAGTAGTTGGAGGGGAAGAAGAAGAAGTAGTAGTAGTAGTAGTTGGAAGGGACCTTGGAGGCAGGGGGTTGGTTTGTTTCGGATTTCATTTGCTGCATGAGCCTAGTGCTTTTTAAATAATGTTTAAGTGATACATTGATATTTTGTGTGAATTAAACCAGCTATTGTGGCTTAATCAAATCATGCTTAAATAAACCAGAGTTCCATCTTTCCTCTCAGATCAATGAATCTTCCAGCAAATTGCTGTCTTTGACTGGAATTGCCTTCTGAGAGATTCAGATTCTTCCCAGATCTTCATACATGTAAAATTGCGAAGTATTTTATATACGTGAATCATTTAACCAGTTTCAGACCTGGATATCCAAAAGAGAACCCAGGGAGGTCTTGCTGATGTAGGCAAAGCAAACTCTGTGTCTCTATAGCTTGTAGATAGGAGAAAGGGACACCATCACCCAAAACAAACCAATACTTTTGATTGTTTGGGATATTGGCACAATGCACAATAAAATACAGAATGTTTGGCTTAAATTGGGTGAGCTCTCTACCCTAGAAAATATTCCCTAACACATAAAATAAGTTCCTGCATTTTTACACTTTGCAGAATTTTTTTTTTTTTAAAAAAGGCAAATAGACCACACCTGGTTGCAAATACCCAGGACTAATAATAAAGCCAAATAAACAGGTAAGCAAAGGAATAAACTGTATTCTTTAGCTCAGGGGTCTTCAAACTTGGCCCTTTTATGACTTGTGGACTTCAACTCCCAGAATTCCTCCGCCAGCGTGCCTGGCTGAAGAATTCTGGGAGTTGAAGTCACCAAGTCACAAAAAGGGCCAACTTTGAAGACCCCTGCTTTAATTGATGAGTGAAATGGAAGCAACATTTCAACTATCAAATCTCCACATTCCCTTTTTTTAAGTTTTTTTTTTTTTTTTAACCAAAGATGGCATTCCTTCCCTATAATAAGAGGGGGTTTGGGGGTGTTTTTTTTTTTGACCAGAAACACAGTTATTAAAGGGGAAAATGACATGTCTTCCCAAGCAGTTATAACATTTTTCCTGGTAGCAATTTATCTGCTTCAGGGCTAACGTTGGGCTTCATTTCCCTTACAGCTCCTGATTTAGCTTCCAGTCCTTCTGTTTTAAAAGGTTTCTTTTTCTTTTTCAACAAATTGTATTAATTTTTCAAATTTTAACAACCAGGTAATTAGGAAGCAGCGTGGTGATAGGGTAATCAATAATCCAATAACAGAGTGATACATAGATATCTCAGTTTATATCAATAAAGGTTCCCTCTCTATTTCCTTTAAGTATTATATCATATTCATATTAGTACATTTCTAGCTAAAGTTCAATCAATCTACACATTTATCAATAACCTTTTAGTTATACATATCCAAGTCCTGTTTTTAGCTTTTATTTAATTCCGGTTATCACATTTCAATTTAGCCTTTTATAACCACTATTTATAATTCGGATAGGTTTAGTTTCCCTCATTTCATTATAAACTAATTCTCGTGACTAAAATACCAATATTATTCCAAAATTTAAATTATTTCTTTATTCACCAATATATTCTATTTCTCATCCTAATAACTCCTCATATACTAATAACATATCTTTCGTTGTCACAAATCCATTTCCCTATAACCATTAAGACTATAATCTAACAAATTATTTTATTTTCCATTATAAATCTGAATCCTAAATATTAAATCAGTCAACATCTCTAAGATCAGTCAAAATCTCTAAAAGAACAGCTGCTTAACCCCCAAATGAATTTTTAAATCCCATTTTTAAATCTAACTCTGTGTTTTAAAAGGTTTCTTAAAACAGTCAGTCGGCTTCCGACAGACTGGTGAGCTCCAATATAATTGCACAGTGACCAGGAGGCAATCACAGACGGACGCTGAACTTGGCTGTATGGGAATGAACTAATTAAAAAAAATCCTCCACCCCCAGCTGTTCCCCACCTCCAATCCCACTCTTTTGTATTTTAATGAAAATGCATTTTATAAAGAAAAAAAAACTTTTTTTTTCAGATGGCTTTTGAGTTTCAAAACGGCCATTTTTGTTACAAGATCTTTTTTCAGACGCCTTCGGAGTCTCACAACAGCAGTTCTCTATATAATGAAGTTCCATCTGATGAGATCTTTTTTGTTTTTTAATTTAAGAAATGCATCGATTTAACCTTTGGGAATCTTTTTTTCACTCACACACAACGGGACTTCCTTCCCAACCCACCTTAGACCGGTGCCTTCAAATATAAGTAGATCCTTATGGGTTGGCAAACGCTGAGTTTCTTTTGTTGTTATTAATCTGCTCCTGTAAAACTTCGGAGTGGGGTTAATTTGAGTAGTGGTAGAGTTATTTTGAAACAGTGCTCACTCGACTGACACATGACTTACTTCAAAGAAATAGGGGAGACATGACAGCAGTATCTGAGGGGCTGACACAAGGGAGAGGGGGACAGGTTGTTCACCAGAGCACCAGAGGGAAGGATGAGAAACAATGGTTGGAAGCTGGTCAAAGAGAGAAGCAACCTGGAATTAAGGAGAAACTTCCTGACAGTGAGGACAATTAACCAGTGGAACGGCTTACCCCCAGAAATCGTGGGCGCTTCACCACTGGAGATTTTTAAGAAGAAACTAGACATTCACCTGTCTGTGACAGTATAGATTCTCCTGTTTGAGCAGGGGGCTGGACTAGAAGACCTCCAAGGTCCCTTCCAACTGTATTCTATTCCAAAGCCTTGTTCCTCATTAGCAGCTTGCAAACACTAAAATCTAAAACTGCATGAGGGGCACCAGCTACATTTCAACTGCTACCGTACTTTTTCTTCTGCCTCTTCTTTTCCTACTAATGACATCATCTAAGTAAAATGGAAATGCAAGTATCCGAGGTTCTGTTCCACAGAATGAGGTAACCTTCAAATAGTTGTGGTAGGAATCATTAAGTACACACGGAAATCAGTCATGCAATAGGCCTCATCTTCTAAAGATCAGAGTCCATTGGACCATTAAATCCAGAGCTGAAAAATACCTACCAACTCTGGCTGTTTCTCATCACTATTAATGATACGTATCTTCAACTCGGGAAAAGTTCTGTCAACTAGGGCCAACTGCTGTGTTTTCTTGCAATCGCATACTGTGTTAGCTAGTTTTGCATCTATTCTACAACCAGAGAAATAGCAGTCTGTGAGTTGCAGAGGCTGCAAAAGTTAAGGAAAATATCTGTAGTCCATCAAGAAGTTGCAGAAATTACTACCTCTGAGGCAGTTATAACAATTTTAATATTAATATTCCAAAAGTGCTTTTTCAAAAAGACAGCTGGACTTTCTTTGTTTTTTTCCCCTTGAACACATTTTGCTTCTTATCCAAGAAGCTTCTTCTGTTCTTCGGTCAGAACTGAAGAAGCTTCTTGGATGAGAAACAAAATGTGTTCAAGAAAAAAAAACATTGAAATGTCTTCAAAGAAAAAAACAAAGAAAGTCCAGCTGCTTTTTGAAAAAGCAACTTTGGGACCACCATGACCCAGATGACTGAGAATCTCCATAGACATTTAATATTAATAGCAATAATAATGTACTACCAATAGTAAAGTGCCTTGGGTACAATTCCAAAACATCTGGAGCATCACTTGAACACCATTGGCATTGACAAATTACCTATTAGTCAATTGCAAAAGGCAGCTTTACTTGGAACAGCTTATATCCCGTGACAATATTTGTAACATCACCAAACATCCACATCTGTCTATCCCAGGGAAGGACTCAATAAGTAGACAAAATTGCTGAATCCAGTTTGAACCTCTGGCTGACTATGCTGCAAGAAGATGGCACAGGCTGACTACAAATCACAGCATGACAATATAGCAACAAAGATGCATTGGAAGATCTGCAAGAAATAACATTTACCTCGAGCAAGAACTGATGGGACCATAAAAATAGAGGAGAGTAATAGAAAATGAAGAAGCTAAGGTATTTTAGGACTTTAGAATTTCAACAGACATTCACCTGCCACTTGGCACCCCAAATTTAACAACTTTTGATAAGAAAGACAAAAAACTTTGGATAATGGATGTGGCAGTACCTGGAGGCAGCAGAAGAGAAGAGAAAGAACTGGAGAAAATCACAAAATACAATTAGAAGTAGAACGACGGTGACAAAAATGAAAGAAAAGAAAAAAAACAAAAATAATACCAATAGTAATAGAGACCTTGGATGCAATACCAAAACATCTGGAGCACCACTTCAACATCCTTGACACTGACAAAATCCCCATCAGTCAAATGGAAATGGCAAATTTACTCAGAACAGCTTACATCCTGCAAACGATATCTTGAACACCATCAACCATCCACATCTACCTATCTCAGCTTCTTGGAAAGGACTCAGTAGATGGACAACATTTCCAAATTCAGCCTAAACAGCAGGTTGATTGTGTGACCAACCATAATAATAATTTATTAAAATTGTTATTCTCAGGGCTTCCTGGGCACCCAATGGGCTCCATATCCCACTTCATTTTTTAATAACAAAGTGAGTTTTGAAAAGATAGGAGGCTGGGCAAAGAAGCTTCCAACATCAACTATATTCCCGAGAATAATCCATTTCCGTAGGAGCCTCAAGTTTGTTTTCTTAGAACATGAAAATAACTCGATGCATGTTAGTTTTGCCCAGAAAAAGAGCAAATAAAGCTCTTGGCAAAGGACTTAAGCCTGAATTTTTTTTTTTACATATTTCTCCATTTCCTTCATACAATTGAAATTGAAATATCCACTTTACGATACACAGTTTTTATTCAGCTCTTGAAACCCAAAGAGAATAATTTTGTCATATCTGGGCCTAAAGAGGAAATTTTGAGCTGACATATAGGTAGTCCTCAACGTACGACCACAATTGAGCCCAACATTTCTGTTGTTAAGCAACACAGTTGAATTTGGTCTCATTTTACGACCTGTCTTGCCACAGTTGTTAAGTGAATCCCTGCATCTATTAAGTTAGGAACATGCTTGCAAAGTGAATCTGGCTTCCCCATTGACTTTGTTTGTCAGAAGGTCGCAAAAGGAGATCACATGATCCTAGGACACTGCGACCGTCATAAATATGAGTCAGTCGCCAAGCGTCCAAATCTTGAACACATGCTGCAGCGGTTGTAAATGTGAAAAACTATCATAAGTCAATTGTCTCGGTGCCCTTGTATCCTTGAACAGCCATTAAACAAATCGTTATAAGTCGAGGATTACATGTATCTGATTGTTTATGCTTTACCCCTCAAATTATTTGCAATGTAACAATAAAGGATTTCAATTCCGGACATTGACTATAAGACAGCTCCTCTACCCTCCCTGTGAAGGCAAATAAATTATTTTTAAAGAACAGAACCATTGTTGCTTGGTTTTTCCGAAGCATTCATTTTCCGGGACTGAGTTAAAATTCACATTGCATAACTAAAGGGAAGAAAAGAACTATTTGCTTGCCACCTCAACCTAATTTAAAACCGTGTTTATGCCGAGCTGCCTAGAATCAATGCAGCATCCAGGGAATTTGGAGAAAAGCCAAAATTCAAGGAGCAGATGGTCAATTAAACTATAGAACCATTTACTTAAATTCCAACGGTTAGAAAGGTTACTGGGGAGACGACAGGTAATTGAAGTTTTGTAAAGGAAGACCCCACCCCTGTTTGCTCAGAATTTGGAAACAGGCATTCCATTTAAGTACTGAGCATCGAACTGGAATATGAACAACATATGTTTTCAGAATGCAACAAATTTATGGAATTCCTGTTGCAAGAAAGACATTAAGTAGACATTAAAAGGCAGGAGTTTATTCATATGAGGAAGTGATCATCCATCAACAATATATGCAGGTAATCCACAACTTATAACCACAGTTGGGACCAGAATTTCTGTTGCTGGTTACAATCATTTTTTGCCACAGTTCTTAAGCAAATCACTGCCATTAAGTGAATCATGCGGTCATTAAGTGAACCCAGCTACCCCTCCCCCATTGACCTTACTGGTTGGAAACTGACTGGGAAGGTTGCAAATGGTGATCACATGACCCTCCGGACTTGTCAACCATCATAAATACATGCTGGTTGCCAAAAGCCCGAATTGTGATCATGTGACCCTGGGGAATATTGTGATGGTTGTAAGTGTGAGGACTGATTATAAACCCCTTGTCAACATCCAGCTTGAGAATCCAAATAAAACTCCAGTTTCGTTCCATTTCCGAAAAGTTTACTGTTTATTGGATACACGGCTTGATTATGTTGAAGCAAAACTAACTCTGAGGTTCCCACACCAGTTCATAGACTTAAAGAATAATTTTCCTAGTCAAACCCCCAGCATCTTATGTAACTCATATCAACAAGTCCACTTTGCTATGGGAACCGTCTGCTTCAAATCCACACCTGTTCTGGTGTCCTTGACAAGGCTTCAGGCTCTCACAATCTGCAGCTGAATTTAAAAAGTTTAGTTTCTCCTTCTTACCCACTTGAAAGTTACACCTTCCCCCCTTAGTCTAAGATAGATGTGAGAACGGGGTTTTTATTCATCCCTGCAGTAGCTGTATAGAATCACCAAACATATAATTGCACAGTTGCACAGAAAAACATATAGTTGCATAGAAAAACGGATCTATTAAAGTGTTTGTCAGTTGCATGGAAAAAAGTGAGTACTTTTTTGTGTTTAAAAAAAAACAACAGAAAAGTTGTATGGAAGAGACTTATGACTGACTGCATACATAGATTAGATGCACATGACTCTCTCTTTTGCTCATAAAAATGTTTTTCTTAATCAATACATTTGACTAATTTACAGAAGTTTGTAGACTGTCTTTCAGGATAATTACCTTTTCTGGGTTGATTCTAACCCGAATAGGTAACTGATCCTTCTATAGTTGATTTAACATCTATTATCCTTAGAGAGAAATGCAACCTCCTTATTTTTCCACTATGGAAATAATTTAAAAGTGATTTAGTAGAAGAGAAATTTACTCTTACCTGTTGAACAATGGTAGTGAGTTCTAAGCAGAGCTGAACAATATTATTTTTCAGCAGCGAGTATTCTGTCACGCTGACAAATGGGGACCTATGGAAAAGAGAGAATTTTAACATCTGAGTTCATTTATCACTGATAATTCCCGAAATAAGACAAGCTTTATAAACAATTCATCCTCGTCAAGAAACTGTGAGGAATGAACCTTGAAAACACAGATTTGTTCCACTTGGTAGAGTGTCAATAGAAATCTGTCAAAATAATAACCATCAAGAAGTTGGTTAGAAAAACCTCTTAAGTAGTTCACCTTTGCCTTCTACAATATTGCATTGGGAATAGGTCTGAAAACCCAGATGAAAATCACCTGGATCGGATTCACAAGACAAATTCTGGGGGTTCAGTTGCAAATCTTTATAGCCGCCAGCCTGGGTTACAATATGAAGCCTTCTGCTACTACTCCATGAGTGAGGGAGGGACTGAGTGGATAGATCTTTATTTTATTGTTTGATTTTTACCCCACTTTTGTTATTTTATAAGTCAAGGAAGCAAACATACATCATACCCTTAAAAAGGTAACGTTTCCCTTGTCTAGCTGTGTCTGACTTGGATACGGTGCTCATCTCCTTTTCCTAGCTGAGGGAGCCAGCATTGTCTGAAGATGCTTCCATGGTCATGTAGCCAGCATGACTATACATTGAGGCACACAGAAAGTGTCATGCCTCCATCGGAGCCTGAATCTGCGGAGGAAAATGAGCTGGAACGGGACCCTATGGAGGTCGAGGGAGAAGTGTCTGTGGCTTCAGGGGAACGTAGAGAAGAGCAGGCCGAGGCAGGCCGAGGCAGGTTGAACAGGAGAGACAGAGTTCAGGTGATGAGCAAGGGCCACCCCCACCTGATCCTAGAGCACGGAGAGTGGAGAGAAGGAGGGAACAACACAGGCAGGCTCAACTACTCGGGAGTGTCCCGCCCCTCTCCACAAGGCACACCTGGAGACTGAGATTTAAGGAGACATTGTGGGGAGACACATTTGTCAGGAACAAATGCTGATTCCTTGGAGTTTTGTGTGTGTTGTTGCTGATCTCTTGTTCTGTGACTTCTGCTTAGAAACCCGGAAACTCTGACCCTTGGACTGGCTGACAATGTTGCTTGGATGTTCAAAGATCTCGGACTGTATTTTGGCTTCCCTGTTGAAACTGCTCAGGCAAGTTTGTATTCACACAGACTCGTTAGGTTTATGATGTATGTGTCATTCCTTGTTATCTCCGTGGCCTTGAGTAAATTCCTCTCCTAATCAGACTGTATGTGAAACTACTTGCAGCCAGAGGTGTGTGTGTTTTCCTTTGTTTGGAGGCTTAGAACTAGAGGCTTATGAGCGTAGTTTTTTCCCCCTCAAAGAACCAATTTGTGCCATTTTCCAAACGGTATCAATTATTATGATAATTGTTCTGCTTTCCAGGGGGTGGATATGTAAGCTGCTTTCAGAGGGGCAATGAGGAGTCCTTCTTTCCCTAGCTTGGACTGCCAATATTAGGAGACTTCCAGCACAACTGTAATTCAATTAATTAACTGAATTAAGCTAGTTCAATGAATTCAGTTACAATCCTTAACTCTTGGGATTTCAGCTCACCTGGTAATGATAACTTGTAAAGCACGCAGAGAACTTCAGTTTGATTCCAAGCAAAATCCTGAAAGACTAATGCAGAGGCTTTGGCTGGCTCAATTCTTAAAATGACTAAAATCTCTAACACGGGTAAAAGCCAAGAATTTTTGGAGGGAGCAGAAAGGGAGCAATCTGCTTACCAAGAAAAAAAAACTGTTATTTTTTTCCTCTTCAATTTAACAAATGGCAGTTCACCTTCCATGATCAATTGCAGCTTATCAACTCTGCTGAAGGGTAGATAAGATAGCTCTCAGCTGCTTCTGGGTAGCCCATAAATCTGGTTTGTCTGGATTTGCCGTTTCAGACTGGATGATGCTAAAAATATCCAGTCCCGTTAATTTTTATTTCAGCAATCCCACAGAGCGAAGGAGTAAAATCTCCCTTCCAGATGTTTTTTTGAAAATGCACATCTGTTTTCTTCAATGACCACCACGTACCCTCTTTTGCAGTCTGTGGCTTAATCAAATCTAATTAGTTACTATATTGTTTATCCAAGATTGAAGATGCGATAATATTGGATAATGGCCCCCACTTTGATGCTCTTCCTCAAAGTCCCGAAGTAACAGTTTAAGTAAACAGTGTAACAGGGTTGTAACAAGAGACCTTGGAGGTCTTCTAGTCCACCCCATTGCTCAAGCAGGAGACCCTGTACCATTCTGAATAAATGGCTGTCCAATCTCTTCTTGAAAATCTCCAGTGATGGAGCACCTACAGCTTCTGAGACAAGCCGTTCCACTGATCAGTTGGTTTATGCATATAGGAAAATGTCTTGGATTAACCAACACAAAACTCCTGGTGACTGCCTGAACCAGTCCCTGCAGTTTTCTTGGCAAAGTTGTTTGGCCATGGTTTGTTCCCCCTTCTTAGCGCTGAGAGAGAGGGCTGCCCAACTCTCCCAGCTGGCTTTGTGCCTAAGGTGGGACCAGCTTGGTTTCTAGCCTGACTCCTTAACACCCCACCCCACCCCCCAAACTGGGCTCTCTAATGAGCTATTAGCAATTTAAATTCTGACTTATAAATAGCTATCCACTTCTGATTACACAAATGCTGCATACGATTGGAATTGTGATTGGAAAGGCTTGTGAGTCCAGTAAATCACCACCACCATCATTTTTCAGAGAGAGCTATGCATGCAAAAGACGTCAAGTTCAATCCATAACATTTCAGTTAAGGTTGGAACAATTCCAACTTCAAACCCTGGAGAATTTCCAGCAGGCTCGATAATATTAGACTAAGGAACTGTGTTCCCAAATTTCCAAAAATGTGAACTTCAAGTCCCAGAATGTTAGGCAATGGGCAGCCTGGCTGGGTCCGCTTAGTTGGAAACTGTCATGGTTGGGAATAACAGAATAACAAAGTTGGAAGGGACCTTGGAGGTACTCTAATCCAATCCCCTGCTCAAGCAGGAGACCCTATACCCTTTCAGACAAACGCTTGTCTAATTTCTTCTTAAAAAATTCCAGTGATGGAGCACCCACAACTTCTGAAGGCAAGCCGTTCCACTGGTTAATTATTCTGTCAGAAAATTTCTCCTTATTTCTAGGTTTGTTCTCTCCTTGATTAGTTTCTATCCATTGTTTCTTGTCCTGCCTTCAGTTGCTTTGGAGAATAGCTTGACCCCCTTCTTCTTGGTTTAATTATCTTGGTTCAATAGTTGGAAACTGATCAAAGAGAGAAACAACCTGAAATTAAGGAGAAACTTCCTAACAGTGAGGACAATTAACCAGTGGAACAGCTTGCCTTCAGAAATCGTGGGCGCTCCATCACTGGAGGTTTTTAAGAAGAGACTGGACAGTCACCTGTCTGAAATAGTATAGGTTCTCCTGCATGAGCAGGGGGCTGGACTAGAAGACTCCCAAGGTCCCTTCCTATTCTATTCTATTCTATTCTATTCTATTCTATTCTATTCTATTCTATTCTATTCTATTCTATTCTATTCTATTCTATTCTATTCTTTGTGTCAGCCATTTAGATATTGGAACACTGTGTCATATCACCCCTAATCCTTCTGGTTTTTTTTATACAACATGAACTCCAAAAGGGCAGGTCTTTCTACCATACAAATATTAAAAAATATTCACCAGTCGTGAACGAAAATTGCAAAAGGGACAGTGAATGCTGAAGACCCAAGGAGAGAATGAGAACAAACAAATTGCATTTGCTCCTTAAAATATATATATGTAAACAGTATTCAAACTTAATTACCTGTCTAACCAGGCAAGCAAATTTTTGGCAGCACCAATCAAGTCAACGACAGAGGTAAGGAAATCGTTTGGCAGCCTTCGGGAGGCCCGTCCATCATAATGACCGCTCCTTCTTCTACCTGTGATGAAGTTTTGAAGATTTTTGGCAGACGCGTTCAGCTTGTGGGAGAGCGTTCTCAGATTTTCAGTCTCCAAGCCGTAGTTCTGAAAGCAAGAGAGAAACTGGATACCTTAGAAAAAGAAGAAGGAGAAGGAGGAGGAAGAACACTTCAAATAAGTTGACCCAGCTTTCATTTTGCACCAATTTGAAAACCCAACACCTTTTAAATATGTAGGTATGTCCTAGCCTTACGACCACAATTGAGCTTAAAATTTATGTTATTAAGTGAGTTTTGCCCCATTTTGCAACCTTTTTTTGCCACAGTTGTTAAATGAATCATGTGGCTGCTGAATGAATCTAGCTTCCCCCATTATCTTTGCTCATCGGAAGCGACAGCCTGCAAAAGAGGTTCTCTTTCTGGTTTTTCGAGAGGCATTTGGGAATTTCTCTTCAATTCCTTTTGTTGGTGATGTCACAGAGTTGACTATTACTGGAGAAGAGTCACTCAAAAGCTTGTGATTCGCCATAACTATGAGCTACGGCTTGCATGTTTTGGTGGCCAGTTCCCTAGGATCTGACAGAAAAGTGACAGGATCAGCAATGCTTAAGTCTCAATAAAGGAGAATATTTGTAACTCAGGGTTGACATGAGGGGTCCTTGGTGCTCTCTGAACTTGCTTGTTTTCTTGCAGATGTTTCATTCCCCAAGATAGGTAACATCGGCAGCGCTAGAAGAGAGTGGGGTTTGTGGAGAGGAGGAGGAGGAGGAGGAGGAGGAGGAGGAGAACTGTGGGGTCCTTGGTGCTCTTTGAGCTTGCTTGTTTTCTTGCAGACATTTCATGACCCAAACTAGGTAACATCAGCAGCACGAGGAGGAGGAGGAGGAGGAGGAGGAGAAGGAGAAGGAGAAGAAGAAGAAGAAGAAGAAGAAGAAGAAGAAGAAGAAGAAGAAGAAGAAGAAGAAGAAGAAGAAGAACAACAACAACAACAACAACAACAACAACAACAACAACAACAACAACAACAACAACTGTGGGGTCCTTGGTGCTCTCTGAGCTTGCTTGTTTTCTTGCAGATGTTTCATTACCCAAACTAGGTAATATCCTCAGTGCTAGTAAGGACTGTGGTTTGCTGTCAAGTTTATATTCTGGTATCTTGCCCTGTCAGTGTTGGTGGGGGTGGTCCTAGAGATTCTTTGGCTGGGCTGTTTACTGTGGGCTTCATTGGCAGTGTCTTGATTGGCATATTGTTTTACTTGATTGTTGGTCTGATGTTAATCTTGGAGTAAATTTATGTTGATCTGGGTGCTGATTGCTGGTGGAGAGCTGCTTGGGTCTTTCTGTTTCTTTTTGGCTGTTGCTTGTCTCTTTTGCATAGCCTATAGATGTCGTTAATGTCTGTGTGTCTATTGAGGGCTAATTTGTCAGAGTGCCAGCCTTCCATAAATCCCCTGGCGTTTTTGGACTTGGCTTGGTCTAGGAATTCTGGGAGTTGAAGTCCATGAGTCATAAAAGAGCCGAGGTTGCCTACCCCCTGGTCTAGGACAGTGATGGCGAACCTTTTAGAGACCGAGTGCCCAAACTGCAACCCAAAACCCACTTATGCATCGTCGGGTGCCGGCTGGGTGTGGCCCATTGGCTGGGCGTGGCCCATTGGGTGGGCGTGGCTGCGGTGGTAACAGCAGACTGGGTGGGACTAAAAAGTTCAATCAATCAATTCTAACTTTGCAAGATCTTTTTTTTTCCTGCAAGAAGTTGAAATTGACCGATTGAACCTTTTTTGGGGGGGGGGGCACACGGCGGCAGAGGCCTAAAGCGAAAAGGTTTTATAAAACCCAGATGAAGGCCTAGGACTGGGGTGACGGCAAGCGTGCCCACAGAGAGCACTCTGAGTGCCGCCTCTGGCACCCGTGCCATACGTTTGCCACCACTGGTCTAGGATGACCAGATTTTCCCAGCTGAAACTATGGTTAAGCCTGTCTGTATGTTGTGAAATTAAAGAATTTTCATCATGTCTTCTGACTGATAGTTGGTGTTCATGGATGCCTTCTGTCAGTCTTCCACCTTGTTTGTTCTGCTGCTAAGCCTGCTGCAACAGAAAATATTGTTGAGGGATCTCTTTCTCCAAAGGGGAGTGGTGTTGGTTGTTTCCAGCACTGAGAAGGTAGCACATCGGACAGGAAGTGAGAGACTGTAAGGGGAATGGTTATCTACTGCTATGTTTTTCTTTCCCCCTTTGCTTCTCAGATAAACACGACGAGACTGGAGATCCTTTTGCAAAACATGGGGAAATGTTAAGTGTCTTTCCGTGTCAATGCAAAGAGAACAGGGAGGGAAATGTAAAAAGCCACTGTGTCAAAATGCAACAGTGCTGTGGGAATCAGGTTGAATCAGAGGCTACCTTAAAATCCACAAATGCAACAATACTTTTTCAGTTCTGCTATAAAATACTGTCAGTGATCTTGTGGTTTTATTTTGATATGTTTGTTGAGTCTCTGGCTTCTAATAAAGTCATCCATCCACCCCCACGTTCACTGATCTATGGTAGAGGCTTGTCTAAAAGACTCCCCTAGCTGTTCTCCTCTGGTGTTTTCCTGTTGTAGCCAATCACAGAGCTTCATTACAACTGTCTGGTATCTAATTTATTGATAGTAGCAGTAGATTTGCCTGTGTTCTGGTCATTTCTATAACATCTCAATTATCTAAGCAAATAACAGAATAACAGAGTTTGAAGGGATCTTGGAGGTCTTTTAGTTCAACAGGAAGCCCTATACCATTCCAGACAAATGGCTGTCCAGTCTCTTCTTGAAAACTTCCAGTGATGGACCATCCACAACTTCTGAAGGCAAGTCGTTCCACTGATTAATTGTTCTCACTGTCAGGAAATTTCCCCTTAGTTCTAGGTTGAATCTCTCCTTGATTAGTTTCTATCCCTTGCTTTTTGTCCTGCCTTGAGGTGTTAAATAATGACACCACCCTGGAGCATACCAGTCAACACTGCTCTAATATTTTAGTTTCCTTTGAGATTGTACAGGACATTCTCCTTTTACTAAAGATCCTTCCATGAAGAGGATGGCGGCAGTTATTTGGTCTATAATCTTTTTTGCTATGTTAATTTGACACTACACAATTCTCTTCTTTGAAATGAGATTCGCAAGCTGATCTTGCGAAAGGTAACACCCCAAGGACTCAGAAGATGATCTGCACACACATCTAAAGCTGCTTCAGTAGGAACTGCGTTATTTCCTCCTAAAAGTGTATCTAGAGATGCTCACAAAGTGGGGAAATTATCGGACCAATTAAGATTATAATATAACAGTGGAATGTTTAGGTGTTGAAGCTAATTAAGATTATAATATAATCATAATTAGCTTCAAGACATAAACATTCCACTGTTGGCTAAAAATGAGCAATTAACAGTAAGATTGAGACAATGGAAACTAATTCAGTAAAGCTCCTAAAATCCTTGTTCAAAGCAAACACACCAACAAACCTTCAAACATGGAACAATATCAGATCACCCTTGTAATTTACAAAGTACAATACAATGGTTTCATCCAACATTAAACTGAGCCTCCAATTAAACAGACCACATTATTCCACTTCACTTCTCAATCTGCAATTGCAATGTTGATACTTTGGGTAAGCAAAGTATCAACTAAGAACTAAGCAAAGTATCAACTAGAACTAAGGAGAAACTTCCTGATAGTTAGAACAATTAACCAGTGAAACAACCTGCCTCCAGAAGCGGTGANGAGGAGGAGGAGGAGGAGGAGGAGGAGGAGAAGGAGAAGGAGAAGGAGAAGAAGAAGAAGAAGAAGAAGAAGAAGAAGAAGAAGAAGAAGAAGAAGAAGAAGAAGAAGAAGAAGAAGAAGAAGAAGAAGAAGAAGAAGAAGAAGAAGAAGAAGAAGAAGAAGAACAACAACAACAACAACAACAACAACAACAACAACTGTGGGGTCCTTGGTGCTCTCTGAGCTTGCTTGTTTTCTTGCAGATGTTTCATTACCCAAACTAGGTAATATCCTCAGTACTAGTAAGGACTGTGGTTTGCTGTCAGTTTATATTCTGGTATCTTGCCCTGTCAGTGTTGGTGGGGGTGGTCCTAGAGATTCTTTGGCTAGGCTGTTTACTGTGGGCTTCATTGGCAGTTTCTTGATTGGCATATTGTTTTACTTGATTGTTGGTCTGATGTTAATCTTGGAGTAAATTTATGTTGATCTGGGTGCTGATTGGGTCTTTCTGTTTCTTTTTGGCTGTTGCTTGTCTCTTTTGCATAGCCTATAGATGTTGTTAATGTCTGTGTGTCTATTGATGGCTAGTTTGTCAGAGTGCCAGCCTTCCATAAATCCCCTGGCGTTTTTGGACTTGGCTTGGTCTAGGAATTCTGGGAGTTGCAGTCCATGAGTCATAAAAGAGCCGAGGTTGCCTACCCTCTAGTCTAGGATGACCAGATTTTCCCAGCTGAAACTATGGGTAAGTCTGTCTGTATGTTGTGAAATTAAAGAATTTTCATCCCGTCTTCTGGCTGCTAGTTGGTGTTCATGGATGCCTTCTGTCAGTCTTCCACCTTGTTTGTTCTGCTGCTAAGCCTGCTGCAACAGAAAATATTGTTGAGGGATCTCTTTCTCCAAAGGGGAGTGGTGTTGGTTGTTTCCAGCACTGAGAAGGTAGCACATCGGACAGGAAGTGGGAGACTGTAAGGGGAATGGTTATCTACTGCTATGTTTTTCTTTCCCCCTTTGCTTCTCAGATAAACACGACGAGACTGGAGATCCTTTTGCAAAACATGGGGAAATGTTAAGTGTCTTTCCGTGTCAATGCAAAGAGAACAGGGAGGGAAATGTAAAAAGCCACTGTGTCAAAATGCAACAGTGCTGTGGGAATCAGGTTGAATCAGAGGCTACCTTAAAATCCACAAATGCAACAATACTTTTTCAGTTCTGCTATAAAATACTGTCAGTGATCTTGTGGTTTTATTTTGATATGTTTGTTGAGTCTCTGGCTTCTAATAAAGTCATCCATCCACCCCCACGCTCACTGATCTATGGTAGATGCTTGTCTAAAAGACTCCCCTAGCTGTTCTCCTCTGGTGTTTTCTTGTTG